CCAATTTTATTTTTTTTTTTTATCACTGTTATGGAGTGTATTTATAAGAGAAAATGTAATGGCTGTTGGAACTGAGGCTAGAACTGGTTCTGTGTGTAGAATTGTCTAATCAGTAGTTGCCATTGTGGAGTTACTAAGTATGGTATGAAGTATATTTGTTTTGTAAGGTGTTAAATAGATAATAGAATTCTAAGAATATGTATTACTATTGTCCAAAAATTTGTAGTTTTTGAGATGTAAGTCATTAAAATTAAAAAAAAATAGTTGACAGTTTCAAGAAACCATGTTTTAACTTTTAGCAGCAGAATCAAAAATATTAAGTAAAATTTAATGAATAATAAACACTATAAAAAGTGGCATGTGTTCTTTAATTTAAACTATTTTATGTCCTTGTCATTTGTTAATGTTTGTTATTTACTGTTTGTACTTTTATATTTTGTAGGTTACTTTACGAATCTTCTGTAATTCATCAATAATGTTAATATTGTATTTTAATTGGACAATGGCCTCTTTTACACTTGTACTCACTCACACCCTGACATTAACTAACATCAGAACCACTTTGACCATGACAAGAGTCATGCACAGCAAAAGAGTTAAGCACATAAAAAGATTCCATTATGACATGAACTTATTGTAATAAAAAACCAATTATATACAAAACATTTTATTATCACAGAATTTAAATCTAGGTAGCATAAATAAAATAAAAAACAATATCTTTTTCCAGTCTTTTTATTGTAAAAAAACTGTCCTTATCTACAACTTAACACATTAATGAGCAGACACACTGACTTGCCATACTCTAATTGTGTTGTCAGAATATCCAGCAAATAGTGTCTGTCCATCTGTGGACCAAGCCAAAGAAAGACATTGGGGAGGTTCAGCTTTTGTGTTTTGTGAAACAACTTCTGGTTTAAGTTCTTCAACCATTTCCTTGCTTTCCAAGTCCCAGATTTTGATTGAGGGTCCAAAGGCAGCACACAGCCAGTACCTATAACAAATATGGATAATGTTTAGAAATCAATTTTTCAGAAAAAGTTTATTTGAATTTGTTTTTTTTTTTGTTGATCAGTCCCATATCCGCTTAACCTCTCATAAATTTATCAAGGGGTTAGAGTTTTATGCATCATGTAAAAGTGTAATTGATAAATAATTGATGTATGACTATGTGATTCATATTTAAATCACTCGATAAATAATTTGTAGAGATAGAATAAAGTGGAAACTTATATTACACCAAAAGGTCTTACCTATTTGGCGAGAAGCACAAAGCAGTGATGATGTCATTATGGTCCAAGGTATGTAAGTGCTTTCCATCATTAAGGTCCCATAGCATAGCTTTGCAGTCTTTGCCGCCACTGGCACACAAGCTACCATCAGGAGAGACAGTAACTGTGTTTAAGTATCCAGTGTGTCCAGAGTGGTTGATCTTTAGACGGCAGTTAGTCAAGTTCCATACTTTCACCATACGATCCCATCCAGCTGATACAATGATTGGGTTGGCGTGATTAGGTGAAAATCTTACACAGGATACCTGAAAAAAACAGTTCATTAACATCATATACATGAATGAAATGATATTTTTGAAAATAAATGAGTGGATTGTCTTAATTCAGATTGAGGAGCTTCAAAAATGTTATTTTGGGCTCACACCCTTGAACTAAAATTAATATTCTTCCTGGCAACAACCAATAATGTCTGTTGTTAACAAAACTGGTGCTTTTAAGGAAGAGTTTTACAATATATAGAAAAAAAACTTGAACTTAAAGATTGAGAGGTTTATAGAACAAATGTTTAACCACTTAACACATTGTGTGCCTAAGTCCAATCATGAGACTTATACTCTAAACTAAAACTTTTCATTAATAAAAATATGTATAATCAATAGCATACATGTGTGCTGTCCCCACATGGCTGAAGGCACCATATGGCTCACATGTATGCCATCCACGTGGAACATGTTACAACATTATCCTGTGTCTGACACAGAACAGTTTGCCTGTGTCTTATACATTTGACCATAATACAGCGCTTTTCAAACGTTTTGGCCTTTTTCTGACCCATTCATGACAAATTTTCATTTTTTTTGTCCATTTCACAGTTTACGGTGAGTTTTAGATGTAACTGTACTTTAGTCTATTTTCATTTCCATCAGTATTGTGTTACACTTGCAGTTTAGTTTATTTTACATTTTATGGCCTATTTAGTGCATGTGCCTGATTTTACGCCCCTTATGTTTTTACTTTACAGAAAAACACAGATGTCAATAATGTAGGTTTTTTTTTCAGAAGACATTTGTTGGTATAACCCATCATACTGGCTGCCACTTGGATTATTATGCATCTTCCATTCCTATACCCTTTCGTCAAGTTTTAGTATTAACAAACTACTTACATATGCCACCTACAGCTTTATATATCCTTAAAAAAAGGCATAAATAATAATGGCAACTTCAGAAAACTGTCCTCACAATAGAAAAGATTAAGACAAAAATCCCCCATAAGAAAGTAACTTAAGAATGAGAAAGAAAACGAATGAATCATAATACACAAAAAATGTATGGAAAAGGAGAACATACTAAAAATAAAAGCACAAATTATTTGATCTCATAGGCATCTATCAAAAGAAATAGCAAAGGTATACCAAAGATATAATTGATGTAGCAGATAGAATAACATTATGAATGATCATAGGCCAGTCTTTTTAATATTAATTATACAGTAAATATATCAAGTACTATGGGAAGTTTTTGCTGATCAGTTTTTTTAGTTTAAATCCCAGAAGTATATGTAGAGTATTAAAACAAAAAATATTTACCCAATCAGAATGTCCATCATCTTGAATTGTGTATTTACATTCAGCCAAGGTGTTCCAAAGTTTGATGGTCTTGTCACGGGATCCAGACACAATTTGTCTATTGTCAACAGAGAAGGCTACACTCAAAACATCCTATAACATAGGTCATTAATTAGAATATACTTATACTACAAACAAATTAGACCTAGAGGTGTATATGACTATTTTAAACATAAACAACAAAAAATTGTCCTAAATCCTATTGAGGAACAAAAGTTGGTATACATTTTGTCCGCACCCAGGAATAGTATTGATATATTCCTTCTTGACAACCAACCTTGCTGGATTATACAAGCTTGGTGCTTTTGAGGAAATATCTATGAGCACACCTCTAGGTTAAAATATACAAAATTACAGATACATCACCCATGCTGTGTAGTACTTACATTTTATTCCTTCGGCAATCTTCAGACGATGTACGACGAAAAAAAAAAAAATTAAACAAAAAATCTTCTTGCTGTCATTATTCGGGGATGATTAGTATCTTTTTTGCAATTCATTTTACATACAACCCCACGAGAAAAATTAAAATTCATTTGCGAAAAACAACGTGCAAAAATATAATACTCTTGGAATGAATGAGAACATTCAACAAATGAAAATTTAAATTTTCTTTTAGGGTTCAAGAAATATGATTCTATCAAACCTTAGTGTGATCTTCAAATCTTCTTGTGGTTTTTCCTGCAGCCAAATCCCACAGACGAAGAGTCTTATCCCATGATCCAGAAAGAGCGTAATTTCCGTCACTGGAAAGAACTACATCTGATATAAAGTGAGAGTGTCCATACAAACGTTTCTGAGGTACACCATATTGGGTATCTTCACGTGTCAATTTCCATACAATCAAGGTTTTGTCTAAAACCGAGAAAATATGTAGCTCAATGTGATACTATACCTAAGAATAAATATAAAATACAACAAAACTTTGAATATACTTGAAGATGTAAAAAATTCGAACAGATTACTATAACCTTGAAAATTATGAAAAGTAAAAAATATTGTAAATTTACCTCTGGATGAAGACAAAATCATATCAGGGTATTTTGGGTTGGTGGCAATTTGTGTTACCCATCCATTGTGACCCAAAAGGGTGCCTTTTAATTGCAAAGTTTCAGTCATCTTTATATTTTTTTCTTAGCAGCTACACATACACGACTACCTCTTACAGCAACCGCACAAAAAAGAAACACGTTTGTCGAAAATTAGACGATTAGGAGGGAGTTAGACAGGTGATGTCAAAATCATTCCTACCAACTATCGCTAAAAACAGTTACTCTTTTACTCTGTATTTATTAAGCTACTTTAATGGTGTTTGATTTTCTGTTTGACCACAGCCACCTTGTGGTTTGACAAAAAATATATAAAATAGAAGAGAATAAAGTTGTGTTTTTTCTATATTAAAATATTTTTATATATTTTCTATAAATAATACTACAAATTTATTATATACAATGTAGAAATAATTGAAAATCTATTGTGATCACTTTTCCATCAATTATTGAACAAAATCTAGCAAGAGAACGTGAAAGAATAATACAATTAAAAAAGAGTTTATTACTTTCTTTATAGATTTTTAATAAGTAGGTATCTTATTATTAACACTGGTATATTATTAGATTGTACATACTTAAAAAATACCTTTATCTTCCCGCTTCCAGAAATTGTTTTCTATAAATCGTAATATAGGGGCAGTGCATTAAATTTCAAATAATAGGTATGACTTGAATTTCTAAAATGATAAGCTAGAGGAAAACAACGGCATTTATGGTTTCTGCTGTCTATACATACTTCAAAATTGTATATGAAATATAAAAATAAGTGATTCACAAAGAAATGCTTTAAAGTAATTATTAAATATAATATGTAAATATTATTTTGTACTAAATTATAGTAAATAGTGCCAAATACACTTCTAATTTTTTCAATCACAGAATTAATTGTATTTGGTTAGATAATAGAAATACCTTTGTACATAACTGTCCAAAGATTAAGAAATTTTAGAATATAAAATCACCGTAAGAAATCTTTTTTAATTAAATACGTGAAACAGTAATAAAAGTTAAATGAAAGAATGTCAGAATAGATATTTTTTATATTTTTGTTTTCCTGATGGTAAACCTGTATTTCGATTTGTCTGTCATTGTCATGCTGTCAAAATATACGCATGCGTTAAAGCCATCTCTTTTCCATTTTCTAGCTCGAAGAGGTTAGTATTTGTGAAAAATGTTTCTTAAATCATCGGGATAAGTATTTATTTATTTCAAGTCCGACATTGTTAAATTAATTATAAAGTAGTAATACTTTATGCTGTTAACCTTATTTAGATAGGATTAAGGAATAATTTAATTGTTTTAGGGCAAAATGGTCCAACGATTAGTCTTTAGAAGACGGTTGTCTTACAATACAAAATCCAACAGGAGGCGAATGTAAGTTCAAAATTTTGTTTCATATGAGAGTATTTATGAAAACTTAAATTAACATTATTAAAGTACTGTTTGGAACTGTAAATATAACATGTTTAATATTTGGAGGTTATGTTTTTGTTATAAACCAAATTTTTATATTAATAAATTGATTTTATGATGAAATTTGGCTAGAGTCCTGAAATATTTATTGACGAAAATGCATATCGTTCGTTCTTTTCTGACATTCTTACCAAAAATACTTGAAATATTAAAATCGGAAACCATTTGTTTAGCATTATTTTTCTTCCAGTGTCCGCACTCCTGGTGGTAAACTCGTATATCAATACCTGAAAAAACCCAAGAAGATCCCCAGATGTGGTCAGTGCAAAGACAAACTTAGAGGTATTCTCCCTGCCAGACCTCAAGAAAGGTCTAGATTGTGCAGAAGGAAGAAGACAGTTAAGAGGGCATACGGTGGTGTCCTATGCCACAAATGTGTTAAAGAAAAGATTGTTCGCGCTTTCTTGATTGAAGAACAGAAAATCGTAGTTAAAGTTCTTAAAGCCCAACAAGCTGTAGTTAAACCATCTAAGAAATAGAGCTAATAAATGTTTAATTTTTATGTTTGGTTTGATTTTAAACCTATTCCTCAACAAAATCAAGGTAAACATGCTTAGTTATGTACTCTCAAACTCTTAAATGTAGTTCTCTGTTTACTCAGTAACACTAATTTCACAGTAAAATATAGAATTTGCTTATTTTGTGTGGAGATTTCTTTTTGTTTTAGTCAATCTAGGTTATTCCTTTACTATATTTCTTAGAGCAGGTCATTAAATTGTTCTTAATATGTTTCTTTACAACACATACCAGCATTTTTGTATAAATGTTTTCCAACTTCAGGCCCTATTGAGTTTTTGTTTGTTTTTTGGCACATTTTACAATGTTTTTTTACTTTTTTCTATTATTTCATAGAAAATTGGCTGCAAATTTGATTGTATTGCATACTTTGTTTTTCATTTTGTATTTCGTTATTGATAATTCTATGAGTTTAGTTTTGCAACCAAATTCTTTTTTGCTTTATATCCATGTTGTAAGTACTTGTAATAGTCTTACTGTTAGTTTAGGTATCCGTTTTTTCTATGGATTTGGGTATTAAATTTGAACTCCTTAATAAGGCAATCATGGCAGTAAAATTCTCTCATTAATTCCATTGTAAATCATGAAGAAAAACCAAAATGATCAAGACATTGTAAGTTTTTGATTTTACATTTAGTTTACTTCCAATCTTCCTAGTTGGTAGCTTCTTTTAAGTGTCATAATTTTATGAAAGCTCTTGTACTGTCTGTTACATCTTGATCTGCTATTTTTATTGATTATTTTGCCTGTTACTTTCATAATAAGATCTATATCTGGTTGGTGATCTTCCTTGACCTCTTCATATGGGTTCTATCCCCCACTGTAAGTCTTTCCAAGCCATTTCTTTTAATAATAATTAACGCTCATAATGGAATTTCTAAATCTTGGATTGGTTAGAAATAAAGTCAATCTGATTTCTAATGCAATTTTGTTCATTAATCCTGTGGTGACCTCCAGGTATATAGTCTACGGGTGGTTATTGAAACCATGTGTTCATAGTCACCAGGTTTTAGCATCTATAATGCTACAAAATTTGTGAATTCAGCATTTGAGGCTAACTGGCAGATTTATAGTAGTAATTCAAATTTTCAAATAGGGATATATAAGCTCATTTGCAAGATTTCTTAGAAAATCACCTCCTTTCACTTTCCTCATTGTTATTGTTTAAATTGAAGATAACGAGATATATTCAATGTGGTATAAAATATAACCATTGGCGAACTCTTTGTACTTCTTGAACAGTTGTAGTTTGCACTGAGCTGGTCTACAATGTCGACTCCTATTTTACTTTAATTTTATAGTGAGATAATTTCTGGTTTATTTTTATTAGTTCAGTAAAGACATGTTCATAAGGACATCTATAAATAAAAATTGACAAAAACTTACCAATAAAATGCAACATAGAAGCTAAATATTTACCTGATCTGCAAGTTATGCCAATAAGTAATAGCCATACTGTTAGTCGCTACGGAGTCTCATACTGAAAATAACTATAAAACTCGCACAACCGTACCCAGGCAGATGAGAATGTACAATATACACTAACATGAGGTTGGTGGTTGGTTTATAGGGAGAGGTACACAAAGTGGCGTTGCGATAGAAAAACAGTTATTTGTACACCCTGAATGAATAATTATGTTGTTGGTGTGTGACACCGATAGCAACTAATGGAGGGTTAACTATTTACACTTTGCTTTTAAGCATTATACAATGACATTTCTACATCTTTGTAAGTTTTGTCATGGCTTACTTAGCCATCGCCATTCTTTTAATTTCATTCACTCATTCATTTAATATCTGCTAGATCACATCTGTAATCTAGCAAAAGTCTGAATTCATTTTCGAGAATATCAGGTTTTTCTTCTATGTCACCATAGTTTTGCCTCTGAAGTCTCTTTGTGTATCTTATTTTTCAACTCAGTTACAGTCTCTTGGCTGGTTGTCATGATCATGGCTCTCCTTGTGTATGTTGTGATAATATGATTGTGTTTCAGTCTTGCATTTTCATTTAATTTTTTTTGTTGAGGTGTCTCTTATTAGGTTTTTTGTTTTCTATGCGCACACTAGTTTATCTTTTATTCTGAATGATTTGAAATATCTTTTCTGTTATCTTTTATAGAATTAGACCACTCAGAGATCCCCTAGGTAATTTGTCTCTTCATATTTATTATATGCTTTAAGTTATGTAGACAATCTTATCCCTATATATGTGGAGGATTATGATTATGTGGTGTTTTAACTAAAAGAAAAGCAAGTACTAAATGAACAATAGGTTTTATTAATAATTATAACATATTGAATTACAAAATTAACTATTTGAAAATGTTTTTAACAGTAGAAGTACTAGTAACATAATTCATAGTAATTAGTCTTTTTTAATTTAGAGCTGAAAATATTAAAAATGTTCAATGCGGCTTAATAAAACAATATACTACTTTTAAATATATGTGAGCATTCACCTAGAAAAAATTATTGCTAGAACAGTTTGTTTCATGATAAGATATCAAAAGTAGTACATACTTCACAGTTTTTTTAAACTTGTGTGTTGAATATCGAATTTTTATCCCCATATCTCAAATACTTTAAAACTACAAAATTTTAATGAGAATAAAAAATATAAATAAAGAACACAAAAATCAAAGCGATAAAGAAATATTGTGAATAGATATTACATGAAATTTTAGAACTACCAAAAAATGGGTTGCATTGAAGAGATATTTATAATTGTGTGAAATAAAAAATGTCATAACAAGAATGCATGAAAAACAAGATAGTATAATTATAATTGATATTCTTGACACATTCAAGACATTGTAGTATTCTTAAGATAAATACAGAAAAATATACACCAATTATATCATCCTTAGCTAGCATGTACTAGGGGTAAGGGGGACTGGTGGCAGCTGGGGTAATGGTAGCCATGAAATAATGGTTGCGCTATCTAACAGTGTTTCGTTCAAACTGTACCTAAAACAATGACGATAATTTTCCGGCATAGAAGAAATTTTTGAAAAGGAAAAGCCATTAAAGGTTTTGAGAATAAGGGAATATTTGCATATAATCCTAAAAATTTTACTGATGAAGACTTTGCTCCAGGTGAATCATTGATACAAGAAAAAGATAAAAAGACACTAGACCAAGAGAAAAAAGTGGATTAGATAAGGAGAAGAGTAATAAGGAAGGTAAGGGGAATAAAGAAAGTTCGACACTTGACAAACAGTTTGAAGTATCTTTTATTGACATAATTCCACTACCAGGATGCTCAAAAGATGACTCAGTTGGAAATAAAAGATCCAAAGAACACAGAAGATATATCATCTGAAGATGAGGATGATGACGATGACTGTGATAGGGACATTAACGAAGATATTTGCACAATTTGTGGCGAATTCGGTAAAAACAGAGAACTCTCGATCCAATGCAGCATTTGCGGCCAATGGGCTCTATTTTTCGTAAATAGAGTTTGACGTACTAAGGTTTGAAGTTTTATTTATGTTAACATTATAATTTTTAAAGCTATGTAGCAGTATAAAGGTCGATTCACACACATCAGTCACGTCACAGTCACGGTACCGAACCGGTCCTGTTTGGTCACAGAACTATCAACTATCTGACAGCTGGCAAACTGTTCGTCAACTGATGAGTGTGAATGCCGGCGCCATATTTGTATTAAAGAATATTTTGTATGACGGATTGTTCGATTCGGCGCAATCACTGTGACGAGATGGTGACGAGACGTGACTGATGTGTCTGAATCGACCTTAAAGGTCGATTCAGACACATCAGTCACGTCTCGTCACAGTGATTGCGCCGAACCGAACAATCCGTCATACAAAATATTCTTTAATACAAATGTGTTGCCGGCATTCACACTCATCAGTTGACAAACAGTTTCCCAGCTGTCAGATAGTTGATAGTTCTGTGACCAAACAGGACCGGTTCGGCGCCGAGACTATGACGGGACTGATGTGTCTGAATCGACCTTAAATAAACCAAAATGCTTAGACGGCCACTATTCCCAACCGTGTCCCTACCTTCAAAAATATAATATTTAAAACTAAGATATAAATTAATTGACAATCGTGATGTTAAAATAGAATGCTAATAAAAAGAAAGCAGTAGAAAACACCTTGCATACATAACACATGAAAATTATACCGGTATTTAAGAAATTTGCTTCAATTAATTGTTTTATAAAATTTTTAAAAGATTACAAATTTTTTTTGGTGGGTCTAAAATTACGATAAGAAGGATTTTGTTATACTATTTGACAATATTGTTTATCTGAATCATCTCTATCGCCAAGTTATCTTTTCTACTTAAAACTTAAGTTTCTACTTAAAAAAAAATCAAAAGGAGCCATATTAAAGATAAACTAATTTTAGGACTAAACTAAACTAACGCAGAAAAATACAAAAAATTAGTTAATCAAATTCTAAAGCCATTCAAACAAGAGTGAAATTCAAAAAATGGTCTAAAAAGTATCCTTTGTTTATGATAATTATAATATTTTGTATATTTTAGTATAAATGTTAAATGTCATTTCGTACAATATTATTTAATGTAACACAAAAAATGGTAAATTGACTTTGAATTTAATATTTATCTAATTGGCATTAAATTTTTCCCACATCCATAGCTTTTGAGCAAGGCTTGTTGAACTGAATCAAGGATATAATTACAATTTTTATTTTAATCGTTTCAACTTTAAGTTAATTTTTAGTTACAATAAAAATCAACAATCTCTTTCATGACTAGATCAACACAATCAAAAGATTTAGAGTACCTAGGTACTCTTTTAGAGCCTTTTTCCAAGTAAGTGCGGTTGTAAAGTTTTGAATGTTAGCAATTCAGAACCAAGGCAGTGCTTTATTCTACGCATGGTTCCATTTTACTATTTCTAAAACTTGCTGAATCATTTAAAAATACCTACTTAATTAAATAGAAAGAATAACAAAAAATTTATGTTTTTGATAGATCGACAA